TGTGTTGTGAGTATTTGCAGCGCGTTTCTTTATTTGGTTGTGTTGTGAGCATTTGCAGCGCGTTTCTTTATTTGGTTGTGTTAATTTATTTGAAACGGCAACTTTTTGAAACATTATAAATGTGTTTAATGTGTTTTTAATGTGTCCTTGCTGAATAAAAGTATTAATTTCTCTCTCTAAAAAAAAAAACGTTTAAAAACCTCAGCTTATGTCATCACCTCAGGGTACCACAAGTAACCCCCGAGAAATGAAGTGAGTAGCCGTGTCCACTGAGGTGTGTGTCTCTGCACTGGTATTTTGAGTCACTCAGCACCTTTGGCCCCTCTTTTGTTTACCACTGAGCCCTGGAGTTTGTGTACTTCCTGTTAGATGAATGGAAGCACAGCCAATCAAACCAGGTCAGAGAGAGAGAAATGAGAAGAGGTACTCTGAGGACCATGAGAAAATAGATCGGGCCTGAGAAACTGCCAGCACAGTTTGTTTAGCCTTTATAAAGTTTCTGGGCATTGTCTGAGTGCCGCTGCGGGTGGGATGGATGGAGGGTAGACGAGGTAAAGAGTTTCCACTTAAAAGTAACTATTCGGATGGAGAATTGGAGTTTTCTGGAAGAGACAGCTGGTGGACTATGCCCCACTGATTCCTTACCCAGAATCCAATCTGCCCACAGACCACTGAGCTCTCTCGCTATCTGTCTGTGTTAAAATGGTTTTTGCCTGGTAATTTTGATTACATGCTTGACCAGCATAAAATAGGGTACGTTCACACTTTCCTTTTTTTGGACTGACAACCGCATTTACTTAGAGGTGTGAATCTCGAAATGTCCTGGAAATTTGCGGGTGTGAGTTTGGTTATAGAATGCGGTTGTCACTCTCATAAATAACCGTACGGTATGTGTGAATGTAACTGTATTATGTACTCAAATACAGGACTGACAACCGTATTCTGCTGCTGTGTGAATGTGGCAATAATGAAGTACATTTTGGTTGTAGACAAATTTAAGTTCCAGTCTCGGTACTGGCAGGGATTGTAGGTAGGGGAATGACCAGTGCTCTCTTCCACCCTCAATACAACGACTGAGGTGAGACCCTTGAGCAAGTCACAGACTGAACCCCCAACTGCTCCCCGGGTCGGTTAAGTGTAGACCTTTTTATCTGCCACGGGAGTTCACTTCCACCATTATAACTGCAGCCTATATTCCACCGGATGCTAATGCCAAGCTTGCTATGAACGAACTGCATGCGGCCATTAGTAAACAACAGACCGCTCACCCGGAGGCTGCATTTATTGTCGCGGGTGATTTTAATCACTCCAACTTAAAGACAGTGCTCCCCAAATTTCATCAGCATGTTTCCTGCCACACTAGAGGAGACAAAACTTTGGATCATGTTTACACAAACATTGATGGAGCTTACATCGCGACCCCCCTCCCCCACCTGGGACAGTCTGATCACCTTTCTTTGTTTCTCACCCCTAAGTATTCACCCCTCATCAACCGTGTGAAGCCTTCAATGAGGACCATCAAAGTGTGGCCAACAGGAACAGACTCTTTACTTCAGGACAGGTTTCAATACACGTCATGCTGATAGTATTTAAAAATCTGTAAATTATGTCCATAGTACTGCCTTATCTGTATATTTATTGTACATTTGTAACATATTGTAGACACTGTATATCTTGTACTTACTGCTTATTGCACTTCTGGTTAGATGCTAACTGCATTTCGTTGCCTTGTACCTTACATGTGCAATGACAATAAAGTTTAATCTAATCTATCTATAATACTTGGCCACACTTCACTTCACTTTAGCTATAATTATGGCTAATGGTTTCCATTTGAAATATGTCAGATTTGTTGACTTGACTGCACGGACACTATTGCAAGAGAATTGAACTGAGCTGGACGATGACATCACTGAATCAACAATGAACTGACTTTGATAAACTGACAGTTTTCTGTTTTAATGTCCTCTTGCATTATCAGCACACGTTTTTCCTGTTTAACACTGTAAAGCTGCTTTGACACAATCTGTATTATATAAAGCACTATATAAATAAAGGTGACTTGACTTGACTCAAAACAGGAAAGATCAAGTGATTTCATGGGGTATTACAAGGGGGAAAAAAGTTGGACATGATGACTGGGAGTAACTTATTAGTAAGTTGCAAATTTCTTTGAGAAAGTCATTCCTTCCTGTGTAATTAATTTCTCATTGTTGGATATGATGCAAAAGTAAGGCAATCAAGTACCGAGGGATTTAAATGAAGGCGTATTTCCTTGAATTAAGGTCATGCTAATTAACCAGGGACTTATAGGGACCAGCAAAATATAGCTAGACAGGGCTAATGCAGTGACTGGTGATGTTTTTTCATGGCCACATATGATCCGCTGATATGATCCGCGATGATGTTTTCAACTCAATCTAATACTGGATTTTGAGACTTTTAACAGAAATGTGGCCTACTTCAAATGTGACATTTCTGATTGAAACAGGACATTTAATGAGTAAAAATTGTAGGATGTTGCTTCAGTGTGTTGGGATGTTTGCCATCACTGCACCTGTTGTTTGTGATGTTGTATCTAGGTGATTTGTATGTTATATGCTGGTGGCTATTAGACTGTGGTGCTATGGGAATGGAAAACCTGAAGCTTCACGATCTACAGAGAGTAGATTTCTGTGAAGATACTCTGGAGCAGCTTAAATTCGGAGTTAAACCAAAGTCCCTTTAAGGCAAGTTTTCCCAAACTGGGGTTTGTGAGGGAACTGCAGGGGTTTGTGAGTTGATGATGTTGATGATGTTGACTTCCATATGGAAAGTCAATGGCTACCGGCAACTGTTTTGTTACCAACATTCTTTAAAATATCTTATTTTGTGTTCAACAGAAGAAAGAAACTCATACAGGTTTGGAACAACACAAGAGTGACTAGATGATGACAGAATTTTCATTTTTGGGTGAACTGTCCCTTTAAGCCAAGTCAGTTCACTTGGTGACCATCTTGGAATTTTTTTTTTTTTTTCAGTTGCTATATTGAGCGATATAATTTCATATTTTACAAGTACAAATTTTACACTAAATTTTTATGTAACAGAGCACTTCTTCCTTTTCTATTGCTATTCTAATAATGTGCATATGATTTGTCATGACTCGTAATCCAAATCTTATGTTCAATGCATTATAATGCAACTTTAATCAGCAGCACAGTCATACAAAACTTCACATACCAAGCTAAATGTTGCTCAGACACTCCCCAAGGAAACTTTGTGATGTCTGTTTGTATGAAGATAGCTAATATTTTCTCTGAAGATTGTGGTAATTGTGATAATGGAGGCAGCTGGGGGATAAACACTGATGAACCCGTACTGAAGGGTTACACTCATCCACAGTGGGCACGTTGTTGTTGTTTTTTTTTTCAGCTGGATGTTGAATAACATTACGTAACCTGTTGTGACGTGGCGGCACTATAAGAGGCCGCAGCATGCTGACTTTGTTTTCTCCTGTCATTGCAGATCTCGTCATTAGAGTGGCAAAGGATAAATTCGGAGCCATACAATCCGAGTACCAGAAGGTAAGTGCATGTAACTGTGCCTACCTGAACCTCCATGCTATTACGTGCTCCGCCACCGCAGTTAAGTTGAAGGGACATTGTCTCAGTGCATCTATTATGAAACAATATTTTAATTACATTTGAAAGCCAAGGAGAGAGCCTTGACCTATTATTGCGTTTATTCTGGAAGAGCTGTTAATTGCTTTTGGCATTATAGCATGTAGTAAACAGAGGAAGAAACTATTTGTTGCTTTTTAATAACGGAGTTTAATTAAACAACAGCTCTTGCTTTGAAGTTTTAGCATCTTACTCCTGGGAACAAACAAACATATGGGGCAAAACTTAATGAATCAGTTTCACCGACATTTCTTGTGATGATGAGAGGAAATGTGAGTTCAGAGATGCACAGCCACCTCGATTTATCATTATTATATATAGTTCTCAGAAAACAGCCCTATATTATATTATATTATATTATATTATATTATATTATATTATATTATATTATATTATATTATATTATATTATATTATATTATATTATATTATATTATATTATATTATATTATATTATATTATATTATATTATATTATATTATATTATATTATATTATATTATATTATATTATATTATATTATATTATATTATATTATATTATATTATATTATATTATATTTATTATATTATATTATATTATTGAAAGAAATTAATACTTTTATTGAGCAAGGGCACATTATATGATCAAAAGTGACATTTAAAACTTTTACATAAAAAATGGAAAATTTCCATTTCAAAAAATGCTCTGTTCATCCAGCAGCACTACTGTTCTCAAATGTAATAATAGTAAGACATGTTTCTTGAGCACCAAATCTGCATGTTAGAATGAAAATTCAGCTTTGCCATCACATGAATAAATTACATCTTCAACTATATTAAAATAGAAAACAGTTATTTTAATATTTCACAATATTAATGTTTTACTCTATTTTTTATTTTTTAAAAAGACAGCATTGGTGAATATAAGAGTCTTCTCACAATTGCCAACTACAAACTATATATGCAATACATATAGATATAATTTAATTTTGTATATTTTTATATTAAAGGATCATCACTTAATTTAGTAATTTAAGCTTAATTTAAATGAGAATTTAATACAATTTCACAAGGCTGAATAACGACCAATGGCCAAATATCAGTCTGTAATCATATTCACTCATTCTTTTCAGTTGTATTATGCTCTGCTCTTGTAACACTTAAGAATATGGAGAGATGGATATGGATGTGACTGTCGGCCAAATCCATGATTCACTCAATCTCTGGGACTGTCAAAATGGGTCTGGTTCCCATTACAGATGGGAGTGTTCTTTCTAGTTCTTAAGTGATTTTATTTGCCATTTGTTTGACTGTTTATTTGATTTTGCTTACCATCTGTTCTGTTTTGTTTTGTTTTGTTTTTTTGCTGATCTGCATGCACATCATCATCTGGTGCCTCCCAGCCAGAAAACATTGTTCTGACGCTACAGGTAATGTGTGTGTCCTGCTAGCAGTGTCAAGGGCCAAACCAGACCCAAGTCTCACCACCCTCATTCCTTAGTTACACCTAACCCTTGCAAAGCCCAGCCCAGCACTCATTCTGTTCACATGTCTGTTTCAGTCTAATCTTGACCGTGGTTGTGTCATCCATGTGGAATGCTTAGAAACATTAGACTGATTTAAAAATTGCAGTATATTTAAAATTTATAGATTTTTTACATAGTGAAATTATTACACTTTTTTGCCACTTTCATACAGCAGCAGAATACGGTTGTCAGTCCTGTATTTGAGTCCTTAATACGGTTACGTTCACACACAGTACGGTTATTTTCAGGCGTGACAACCGCATTCTGTAACCGAACTCACACCCACAAATTTTCAGGACTCGCACTGTGTGAAATGCAACCGGTTTGGACAACTAGTTGTCTGTCTCGTCATTCAGTGCGAGAGAGAGCCGCTCTGCTGCTCAAACACGTGTCTACTGTGTGTTGCAGGTTTTCATGTGGTTTCGGTAACTTACAGATATGCAGATATGAGCTGTGTGTCATCTAAAGGTTTTAGATTCAGTCACTGTTCTTCTCCACCGGTGCTGAAGTTGACTGGATCTAAACCTTCAGATGACACACAGCTCATATCTGCGTCTCTGTAAGTTACCGAAACCAAACAGACGGTAGACACGCATTTGTGCATCGCAGAGCAGCTCTCTTGCACTATATGAAATGACGGACAACTATTGCGTGGGTTTTCGAGAATACTGTTGTGAGTCCTGAAAATTTCCGGGTGTGAGTTCGGTTATAGAATGAGATTGTCACTCCCGTAAATAACCGTACTGTGTGTGAATGTAACCGTATTAAGGACTGAAATACAGGACTGATAACCGTAATCTGCTGCTGTGTGAACGTGGCCACAAACGGTATTTGTGACACTACTGTAAGTTTCTGTGTGAACGGGACATTTCGAGACTCACCTGTAAGTAAATGCGGTGGTCAATCCCAAAAACTGACAGTGTGAACGCAGCCTTTCAGGGCTTTTGCTATTTATTAAGAGCAAAAAGAAAGAAAGAAAAAAATAATTAGAGCGCTTTAATATTTCTGTTGTTTCTCCTAGACAGCAATGTGATTACATGGAGAGGTTTAGGTTTGCTGCTTCTCAGATATTTCTCCTGAGAAAATGACCCTAGTAATCTTACATTGTCCTCTAGAGTTTCAGAAGTGATCTCGCAGCTCTAAATGAACTACACTTTTATTACAGTTTATTACTTTTATTACTGGGAGTATGTTCATTTCACTTTTTTCTTGTCCATCCTATATTAAAATCGCAGGTATTACATTTCTCTTTCATCTCTGTAATTGGTAAGATGATCACAGATACACAAATTTCCTCATCTTAAGCTGTCTGTAATTTTTAGCTCAGCCATGACCCAGTAAGAGGAGTGTGACTACACTAACAGGAATGATGTCATCCCTAGATGAACCCGTCTAAAGCTTTAATATGCTGATATGAGAGAAGCACATCGGATGGTCAGTGAGAGGGAATGGCCATTCGTAGTAGAATGGTCAATAACCTCAATAACCTAAGTGTTATGCTATAGCCTATGTGTGAAGTCCCCCATGATAGTCTTAGCTGCTAAGCTTTTGTGTCATTTCCAAAAAGACTTTCAGTTCTTACTCACAGAGGCGTGAGGGGAAATGAGCTTTTAAAACCACCTTTAGAGAATTTTAAGTATGGAAAGGCTCAACCCTTGAGGAGAAGCGAGGGTATTTGGTGACAGACAAAGCCTCTGGTTTATTCAGCGGATTAAGCTTATTCACAGGCTAGCCGGGGGACAGCCCAGCTCATTCAGAAATGTCCATAATGCCACGGGATGTGTGCAAATGGATTCAGTGGCAACATATGGAAAAAGTGTTTAACATTATTCCATCATGTTACATACGGCATGGAAATTTTGCAGAGCATGGTTTAATTTCCCTCACTTCAAAAGCCCTTTAATGGAAGGATTTGGAGACAAGAATATTTGCTTTACTTGAAAAAGAGTGCAAAAGCTTCCATGTATTGTTGTATTTTTAGAAAAAAATATAAACTGTGAAAATATTTTGTAGCTCATTTAAATATACCTTAGCGTTCCTTTTTAAAAAATGGTTGGTGATCATTTAAAGAAATAGTTATCCCAAAAATGAAAAATTGCTGAAAATGTACTCACCCTCAGGCCATGTATCATGATGTACATGAGTTTTTTTCATCAGAACAGATTTGGAGAAATTTAGCATTACATCACTTGTTCACCAATGGATCCTCTGCAGTGAATGGGTGCCATCAGAATGAGAGTTCAAATAGCCGATAAAAACATTACAATAATCCACAAGACTTCACCATCTTGTGAAGCGAAAAGCTGCAAGTTTATAATAAAAAAAATACATCATTAAGATGTTTTTAACTTCAAACCATTGCTTCTGGCTGAAATACCAGTCCTTTATCCATAATATTGTTTGAAACAATCTCATCTACATCTTGGAAGGCCTGAGGGTGAGTACATTTTCAGCTAATTTTCATTTTTGGGTGAACTATTCCTTTAATGTATGTACATGCAGTGCTCATTTAGTGTAATTGTAGTTTTAAAATAATCACTCTCCTTCCTTCCTTTTATCCATAGAACTAAACCTAAACTTTAAACCTGTATAACTTGGATGGTTTCCTGGATGCAAATTAAGCCTTAACTGAGATTTATTTGCCTGAACTTCATTGCTGAACTTAAACTTCTTCAAGGAAACCATCTCAAATGATAACTCAATTTGTTTGCATTTATTGATCAGATTTTCTAATCTGTATAACGTTGTGTTGTGTGCAGGTGATTTATTATGAGATTGGTTTTGTGGTGTGCACGGCACTGGGCCTGCTGTTCACCGTGCTGCTGCCGTTGGTGGGGCTTCTCTTTTGTTTGTGCCGCTGCTGTGATAACTGCGGAGGAGAAATGCACCAGAGACAGCGGAAGAACGCGGACTGCCTTAGAGGATTGCTGACCACACTGTTACTCACCACCACCTTCATTATCACGTAAGTTTTTGTGTTTGTCTGATTGTGCATGTGTGATTGCATGTGTAACCTTTAACACAGTAAAGGCCCGTTCAAGGACGATAACTATAACAATAACGATAAAGATACAGTTTTATATAAATATACATTCTATATATAAAAGCATAGATAGAGTCCACACCACACCACCATTTTCAATTTTTTTTTTTTTCAAAATTAACAACCAATCAGATTGCAATCCATCCTGCTTTAAAGAGCTTGAGGCAGATGACACAACTACAGCATGTGCTTATAATAAACAGAACGCTGTCATGCATTGGTGTGGATGTTAATATAGTTATCTTTATATTTATTGTTCATAGTGTGAACAGGCCTTTAGGCTCTCTTCCAAAACCTAGGGTGCTGCCTGCACACTAAAATGCGTATGCAGTATTTTAAGGTTTCATGAGCACAGATGCAAAGGCTATTTCAAAAAGTCTGTTTCAAAGGCAGCTTAGTAGGTTTTTGGAACAGAGCCTAAATAATCAAAAGCAAACTCAAAGCTGATGATACTTTCAATAAAAGACCTCAACAAGACACTTTCGAGCTTGCAGGTAATCTTCCTGTCCTAAAAGTGCCATGTTCTCGAAGACATATTGTAGACAAGTGTACACTCCAGGAAGAAATACAGCAGAACTGCACAAAAGCAGGAACTCCAGGAACTAGCAACGGCAAACTTAATAGAGTGTTTGATGTTCCTCTACTTTATGCATTCAGCCGGCTGGCTCTTTATTAAAGATTCCATAGCACATGCCTGGCTGCCTGGAGATGGGCATGTCTCCTCATGTAAAAACCTCCCAGGATTTCAACCTTCATGATTCTGATAAAGCCGTAACAGGGGCCACTCTGCACACTCCTCTCTTCAGCGCTATATTAAAGCACATCAATCTTGTTCAAATGTGAGGCAGGCGCCACCTAGTCTCTTAGTGGGAAATTTAACTGAAAATCATTCAAATGTTACGTGATTGTCCTGAGAGGACTCTCACAGAGAGGTCATGGAGTTTGAAGCATCTCCAGGGGAAGTTATGAGTTGGACACCGTCTCATGTGTTTGGATAGGTGCTTGAATAGTGTTTTTCTTAGTGGTGGTAGAAATCAGGGCAATTGTTCTGAAGTTTCATTGACCTGTGTTGTCATTTATCGTTTCCAAACTTTTAAATTTGATTAAAATTGCTTGATAAACTCAGGCCACTTTTCTCCGGGCTTTGCTGTTTTTTCTCATAAAACATTGGGCATAATTTAGGCTTGATGAATAATTAAAGAAGTGACCCAATTATGCCAAGAAAATTCCTCATTAGTGGCATCTCACTCTTAAGAGAAAAACTGCATTTATTAGGGACACTGTCAGCCGAGTCATGAACACAATGGTGTGATGGTCAAGCAACATAACAGCTTGAGGTGTTTTAGTTCATTTCTTCTAACACTTTATCATACGGTCTTCCAGACTTTAGATCACTGGCATTCATGACTATCTGTTTGTTATATGATTAACAAGCATAATTCAGTTGGCTGCAAGTAGTTTCATGTATGCGACTTCATAAAAGATTATCTGTCCTAAATATATACTATTATGTATACGATTATATACTATTTTATATTTATTTCTGAAAGGAGTCACTTATGCTTACCAAGGCTGCATTTATTTTATCAAAAATACAGTAAAAACAGTAATATTGTGAAATATTATTACAGTTTAAAATAACTGGTTTCTATTTTAATATATGTTAAAATGTAATTTATTCCAGTGATGAAAAAGCTGAATTTTCAACTGTCATTATTCCAGTCTTCAGTGTCATATGGTCCTTCAGAAATCATTCTAATAAGATGATTTCGTGCCTTAATAAACATTTCTTACACTTATGTTGAAAACGTCTCGGTTACGTATGGTAACCCTCGTTCCCTGAAGGAGGGAACGGAGATGTCACGTCGGTGACCGACGAATTGGGATATCGCTTTGATAGACCAATCTACTTCGAGTGTAAACTAAACGAGCCAATGCACATTGGCATGCAATTATTGCATCCAGCTGCCGCTGATCACAGCGTGAGTATAATAAGGCAGCAGGTGCAATGCATACCAGGTTTTCGCTGAGGAGCCGAGCCGGCGACCCGGCCACTCAGCGTTGGTACAGCAACCGTGGCGATGGGATGTGACGTCTCCGTTCCCTCCTTCAGGGAACGAGGGTTACCATATGTAACCGAGACGTTCCCTTTCAGTCGGTCACTCCGAGTCACGTAGGTGACCGATGAATTGGGATCCCTGCCAAAGCGCCATGGTGCTGCTCCTTCCAGTGCCCTGTGCGAGCCGCCTGCACCCCTATCTGGTGTAGGCCGGGGCTCGGGACAAGTAGTTCCACTCACCATGTTTCAAAGCACTACCTTACTAAGTGACCCCCGCGTCCAGTCCAGGGACCAGACATGAAGTTTCCAGAGGTCTGGACGAGGATGCCAAAGGGTGCTTCGTCTCTGAGTCAGTAGATCCTTCCTCAGAGGAATCGGCCAAGGAGAGGCTGTCGTGAGGAGCACTAGCTCGGGGAACCAGGTCCGAGTGGGGCAATACGAGGTTTCTGGAGAAGCAAACAGGTCTACCTGAGCAGCTCCGAAATGTCTCCAAATCAGCTGGACTTCAGCATTTCATTCATTAAAGGGGTCCTATTATGCTTTTTCACTTTTTCAACTTTAGTTAGTCTGTAATGTTGCTGTTTGAGCATAAAAAAGACCTGCAAAGTTACAAAGCTCAAAGTCCACTTCAAAAGGAGATATTTTATTTAACAGAAATCAATTTTCAAAAACTACAACGAACGACTCGTTTGGACTACAACGCATATTTTCCGGGATTTGTGATATCACAAATATCGACGAATGGGACGAGACCTGGTTGAGCTGCACTAGAGAAGGCAACAAGTGTTATCACTATGTCGGAGACACGCTAGCTTTCCCAAGGCAGACGAACTTAGAGTGGTTACAATCATCCGGGTTTAAATCGCGCTCAAATTGATTTGATTTTGACGCAATATTTACACTGAAGCTCGCAGGCGGCTATGGTAAGGGGAATGACATTTCCTGACCAGGTGCCGAGTGCTGCCAATCACAACACACACTGGCCCAGCTAACCAATCACAGCACATTTCGTATTTCAGAAGGTGGGCTTTCATTTCATACAGGAACTATTCGAGCCGTTCATGCCAGACTGGGGAGAGAGGTGTTGTAATAATGTCAAATATGTGTAAAATAATGTGTTTTTCGAACAACCTAGTATGAGAGCCTGTTCTAGTAAACCCCCAAAACAAAATCAAGACTTTGTAAAAGAGCATAATAGGACCCCTTTAAATCACCCTGTTTAGTCATAGAAAACCTACATTTGCACAGTATTTGTGCTGTTAAATGTCATTTTGGCCTGTTTTCGGGTTCATTCAGCCTTGAAATATTATAATGCATGAATAGATTGAGATTCAATCTTGGTAATTAATCATTGTAGGCACACATATGTAAATGCTTGCATTTTTGCATTTTTGCATTTTTGTTAAGCATGCATGTCTGAGCAAAGATGGTTAGCATGAGCATCTGTCACTCCAGCCCCAATTAGACTCTAGAGATTGAAACAACTGCATTTTCCACAGATCCCACCCAAGTCCTCTATAACAGTTCTGCGAGTATAAAAACAATATACTGCAAAATCTTAAAATATATATATGGAAAAAAACAGGACTGCAAAGTTGAGCGTGTGAGAGACTTGATGACATCATTTGCAGTTTCTATAGTAACAGCGACTACTCTGATTGGTGGATCTCTCTTTAGGATTTTGACTAGTGTAGTACTTCAGTTAGAATTTGGAAATTGGAGAATTGAAATCACACTAACTTATTGGGTCCTCAGACAGTTTGGAGTTATGAAAGGGGTCCTTTCAGCAAATATGTTTTAGAAACCCTTATTTGGGTTGTCTAGTGCCTGAGGATTGTCTGTATCTAGTTATTTCTAGCAAAATGTGTGAAAGTGTTTGCATAAGAGAGAAACCATGGTTATGGTGACAATATGTCCTGATGTGTATTTGCAGGATTGTGACTGTTGTTTGCAAAAGAGCATTTAAATAGATCCGTCATCAGATATTACTGTCATCAGTCCACTGTATACAAAAGTAAATCAGTCACTGTCAAGAGTTTCTTCTGTCAGTTACGATGATGAATAATGAGTATTTAAATGTAATGTTCAGCTCAAAGAAAAACACCAGAATATTTTGGTGTACAGAATGGAGAGAGAAAGCATTTGTTTGTGCGGTTAATCATGTGTCCTCCTTCTGTCCTACACATGAATGGAAAAGAGAAATGATTGTCTCACACTTCAGTTACCCACCCGATCTGGCCTACTTTCACTGCACACACATGGGGCTTGCCGCCTCCATTTCCATATTCAACTTTAAACTTGAGGGAACTTTAAAAGGAACATTTTGATTTCTTCTGGAATAATGAAACAGTCTGGAGTCTAATTTGAAAATGTTCTGCTTTGTCTTGTCGAAAGTTTGGACACACCTACTCATTTTTATTCTTTTTATATTACTGTTTTTTACATTTAATAATAATAATAAAGTAATCAAAACTAAAATATATTATCTGTTCATTAATTTACATATTATCATTTGTGTTATTTACACATGGGACTATGTATATTTTCCAAAAAATATAATAATAATTAATAAATCAAACCCATCTTATATTTTAGCTACTTCTAAGTTGTTGGGTGCATCCAGAGATTCTTTTTAACTATTGAAGGTTCCCATGTATGCTGGACACTCTGTTTATCCAGCCCAATTCATCCATTTCCAGTTTAACTGAAATGAACTTATAAAGAATAAACTTATAAAGAAATGTATATGTAAACACTAAGCGCAAAATTAATATAAATTCTGTCATATGTGTCCATATTTTTGAATGGTAGTGCATGTGTTTTATTTTGTGGTAATGGTAGTTCAATACATTGAAAAGCAGTTAAAAGCATTTTTTTTGTCTTGCCTTCCAAAATAAAAGGCTGACCCTTATTTTCCAGTTGACAGTGGCTGTCTTTGTCTGGATCAGTAGCTTGGCAGTGTCGTGTTGGTGGGCCGATCACATTACAGGTCTGTTGAGTACAGAGGAATCAACAGGTAGACCTAGAACGCCTTCATGGTGAAATCAAATCCGGTGGGTCATCTTTTGTATAAAGAGGCAGTCAAGGAGGTCCTCACCCCCACCCTGCTCCTCAAACCCCCTTAGAGGCATTTATAGACAGGGACATTGTGGGAGTAGCCCCAGGGTCCAGTCAGGCTAAATACAGCAATCATTGTGGGAGTGACGCTATTCCTGCCTCCATTACTCTATAGAGACATTCTTCAGTGCACTGAACCAACCCAAGTTATAAAGCCTATTTTCAACATGATGCCAGAGTGAGCTCAGAGCCATTTTTAAAAGTAAGCTTTAAAGGGGTCATATGATGCGATCCGATCACAAATGCAGACATGGTTTTATGTTTACACGGCACGATGCAACGCAACACGTAAAAAGACAGTATAGGTCATTATAATCAGTAATTATGTTCCCACTGGATGCAACAAATGCCTCGTTTATAATTATAGTTTTATTGGTTTTGTCTCATCGCTCCGGGACATGGCATCACAGTATGGTAAGGGGCGTAACATTTCCGTCACACGCTTGAGGTATTCAGCCAATCACAACGCACTGGATAGCTGGCCAATCAGAGCACACCTCGCTTTTCAGAACGATGAGCTTTGTAAAAATCGACGCGTTTCACAAAGGCGGGGCATAGAGGAGAAACAATAATGTACAATATGTGGAAAATAATGTTTTTTTTAACCTTAAACCGCATAAACACATTTCATTACACCAAATACACAAACTAATGTTCTTTTTAGCAACATCATATGACCCCTTTAATGAAGAAATGCCAATTAAAATTTTATTTTATTTATTTATTGCTGGTTCATGTGAGGTGCCCTGCAGAGTTTTAGACCATCTCAATCCCCTCTGTGTGGAATGCACTTTGCCATCTTCAAAGCCTCTTTGTTCACTGGCTGCTATGTTTTCCCTGACCTTATGGAGCAGAGCAGATAGTAGCTTACCAACACACAGTGTAGACAGAGAGAGGAGGACATGGGGAATAAGGGGGTGAGAAGGAGGAAAAACAATAGTGCTTTGTAGCTAGCCACCCATTTTGATTATTCATCAGTCTGTGGTCTGTTTCTCACCCTGATACCATTCTGCAATGCCCGCTATCTGCATATAAAGCACTGCATTTCATCACATGTGTGTAATTTTAAAACCAGTTTGATGTTTGCTCTATTTCAGATCCTAAATTGTAACTGAATTTGAATTAAGGTAGCCAAACAGGATTCAGAATTGAATTTAAGAAAAATTAAATAAAATTAAATTCGTGTAATTGCTGTAAGTGTAGTCTTTTTAATAATTTGTCATTATTAGTAGTAATTGTAGAATTATAATAATACAATATATTTTAAAATTACGTAACTTATAATTCATAATCATTTTCCGTATTAGCCTTAAAATATACAAAACACACACACATTTATATGCATATATTATTTATGTAGTATTTATTTATTTTGTGGATGTCCATGTTTGAGGAACACTTCATTTCTCAGAAAGCTTTTTAAAATTTTTGAAGTTTAAATTTAAAATAGTTTAATGGCAGTGCTTAATTATAAAGCTACTATTAAACAATATAACTGTTTTTTAATATATATAAAATCATTAGAAATGAATAGTTAATAAATGTAAATGTTAATAGTTTTGATAATATTGAACTATTTCAATATTACTATAAGATTATAATACTATAAGATTTTCCAAAGTTGTGATTTTATGTGTGAGTTGTGTGTATTGTGAGTTTATGTAATTATTCATGTTCTGTCGCAAAACTTGTTTTGGCCGATTGAAATTCTTCTATTGTATGTCTGTTGAATTTCTTAAAATTGCAATTCAGTAAATTCCTCTTTTGCCAGTTCAGCATCCTGTGGGGCTTGTGGCCAATTCATTTTAAACCCCCCCTCATGAATTGAAAGTGAAGTGACGTGACATGTGGCCAAGTATGGTGACCCATACTCGGAATTAGTGCTCTGCATTTATCCCATCCAAAGTGCACACACACAGCAGTGAACACACACACCGTGAACACACACCCGGAGCAGTGGGCAGCCGTTTATGCTGCGGCGCCCGGGGAGCAGTTGTGGGTTCAGTGCCTTGCTCAAGGGCACCTCAGTCGTGGTATTGAAGGTGGGAGAGAGCACTGTACACTGTTCACTCCCCCCACCTACAATCCCTGCCGGTCCAAGACTCGAACCTGCAACCTTTGGGTTACGAGTTCGACTCTTTAACCATTAGGCCACAACTTCCCCAGGTAGACACTTCTCTTATATTCTGAATGTTGCTTATCCTTGGTCCTCATGTATTAAACAAAATATAACTCTTAACACAAAAGCTGTGTTGCCTACAGAGAGAATAATAAACCGTAATGCTAGTGTTGTCAGATAAAATAGTTATGTGCACAGGCTCATCTTCTAGAGCACTTTTTGATGTACAGATGTTTTGCAACTGTTTCTTTTAAGTCGTGTCTAGAGGAAGTATTTTGCATTCACATCTGAAACAGGAAGTTGCCCATACCCATCTTTAGTTTTGCTAGCTTTGATAAATCCCACCCTGCAGAAGTGTGTGAAAGCATTGATGCATTTCATTTGCAGCACCCACAGATTAATCTGTGTATGGTGCAATCATATGCACAAAACCAACAAAGAGTGATTCACACATTTTGATGTAACAGCACAAAAAGCCTTCCCGTTTGCACTAAGTCAATCATGGCTTTTGTCCCAGACTGCAGTGAACACCTAGAATGATGGTGCTGCCAACATTCAATGTCTTCCACAGTAGCCATGAGCACACCAAAAGAAGACAGCCCAATTAGGATGTGTGAATCATGAATAGGTACTAATATAGGGTTGGCTTTTCCTTGAAGTGTCTCTCAGTCTAATTAAGGAGAGTTCACAGTCACCAGTTTGTTTGAAGTACTTTTCCAACTATGTAAGACGAAGGTTCCTTTGGACTTATTCACTGAGTTGCATAACAAAAGCGCTCTCTTCCTGTATAGACCTGCAGCAGTATGATGTTGCCTCTTAGTTCTCAATAAAAGTATGCCAGAGTATGAGAACGTTCCCAAAGCAACACAATTAAAGCATCCTAAGAGAAGAGCACCGCTGTGAGGAGCATGCATCTAGTGATTGCATTGCAGTGTTGCCCCCTACTGACACTCCAGAGAGTATCTTACTGACAGGGCCATGACAAATGTTCTTTTACAAATGTTCCTATTCTTGCTTTTCTGGCTTGAATCTGATTTAGTTTGTGCTTTTTTAACGATGCTGTTTGTAATCATCAGGGCAGGGGTCCTTTGTGCATATGCAGCCAATCAGAACCTGAGTTCCCAGCTGAAGAGCATGAGGAGGCTGGTGAAGAGTAACCTGAAAGACCTGCACACCTTCGCCAATCAGACCCCAGCAGTAAGCAATACAACCAGAACAAACATGTGCCCACACATACACTATTACACTGGGATGGGTGGGTGGATGGATAGATAAATAGATAACAGACAGACAGAAAGACAGATGGCTGGACAGGCAAGATGGATGGATGGACAGCTAGACAGATGATCGGTCGAATGGACAGACAGACAGACAGACAGACGGTTGCCTGAAACAATGGTCAGTTGAACAGTTTAGATATAATTATATGAAAATATTTAATTGCATAGTTCTGCAAATGAACAAAAGTAATCATCCAGTAGATGTCTTAGTATTGGCAAGTGAGGTTCTATTTTCTGAATATATTGCTGTGTTGTCTCTCCTTCAGCAAATTGATTACCTGATCTCTCAGTATGGCAAAGTGAAGCACCATGTGCTGTATGACCTGGAGAGTAAGTATGCTATCGGTCATCTGGAGTGGAATGGAAGGTGTTTCTGATGTGAGGACTCATATTGTGGTGTTTCTTCAGATATAGGTCTGCTCTTGGGTGGAAGGATACATGAAGAGTTGGGAAAAGACGTGCAGCCCGCCCTCAACGCGGCTCTCAGCATGACTGGAAGTATGTCACTCCCCTTTGTGTTTTTTGTTTGTTTCTTTCCTTTCTTTCACCTTTGCTGGGAAAACTATTTATCATATATATCATATATCACAAGAGAATAATATATTGCTTCTGGTGGTGTCTTATTTCACTGTTTTGTCTTTGATTTGTTAGTTAAAGTGGAGAAATCCATTAAAGGTAAACCATAAGAGACCCTAACTTGTCCTTCCTGTTACCTTCTATCTGTAACAAAGTTGTGATCGACTCCTTATTCCTTCCCAACAAAACCTGGCCCAGTTATTTTCCCATGTGTATTCTTGTATCCTTCCTTGGTGGAACCTGCCCATCATGTGTCGTAAAACCAAGATATCTGAAAGGTTATGAAATACACTGAAAGCTCCAAAGACAATGTTATCTCACCTCAATGGATAATATTTAGAAAATTTTTAAATTAAAGATGCATGTGTGGATTTTATGTCCTTCAGAATTATTTGTGCCTTGGTTATTGTGGGCAGTCTCTGTTTTTGAATGTTCATTTATGTGTGTTGGCTCATTTCCTCATTTCCTGGTTGGTTTCCTCTCTTAGCAATGCGAGACACTAAGGATGCTCTAGAGAATGTGAGTTTGACGTTGGAGACTTTGCAGGAAGGAACAGTCAAACTGCAGGCTAACCTCAGCCTGGTGCGCGGAAGCCTTAGCAACGCCCTTAATGATCCTGTCTGCACAGACGTACGCTCATCTGAGATTTGTCACAACATACGTAGCACCCTTCCCAGGCTAGAAATTGCAGCCAACTACTCATCGGTATTGAAATAATTTATAATCTTTTCTTCCAACATATTGTCATCAAAATGGTTCACAGTTGTTTTCTTTAAAAAAAAAAAAAACATTGCTGTTTTGGGGGGTTTTTTAGTTGCCTGATGTGACCAACCAGTTAGACAAAGTGAATGAAGTTCTAAAGACGGACCTCAGCCAGATTGTGGAAAAGGTATGTTTTTCCCAGATTTCTCATGACATGTTTGTGAAGATTCAGGACAGAACATATTGTATTTCACAGTGAAACAGGATATTCAACAAGAGAAAAAAAATAATTTTATCCATTGGGAATTGATTTGATTATGATGAGTGGTCATACATACTAAAATGAATCCAAGTAGTTGGAGGGGAGGGGGTTGAAAGTGAAAAGGTCATATCCTTGACTGAAATAAGGTCAGTTTTGATTTCATGTTGTTTTGAAGGAGCATATCATCTTTGTTCACTCTTGCACCTTTTCATCTTGTATCACACAGGGCTTTACATCATTCAATGACACTCCCACCTTGGTAAAAGATCAAACCCGAAATATTGTGGAAGGTGAGTTTAAAGATTAAATCTAGACTGGAATTCAGATCTTTGAATTTTATATACAGACCATCTAAAGATTCATACAGAGTGCCCTTTCAGTAATTAAAACATATTTTATTTTATATATTATCTATATTTTATATATTTTTCTACTTTTCACTTATTAAATTTAAACAGTCAGACTTTACAATAAGGTTCTAGACATTAACATTAGTTAATGTAATAGCTAACAGGAACTAACAATGAACAATACTTTTATTTTATACTTCTATTTCATATTTATTATTCTAGTTGAATGTTAATTTCCACATATTACTAACACATTTTTAACATTTAAAGTTAACCTAACTTAGATGAATGCTTTGATTATGCTGTAAAAATTGTACTAATGTTAAACTAATGTTATCCAGGTCAAATTCATTTAAACATTGCCTTACTAACATAGTGTCATATGTAATCATTTAATTGATTTAAAGAACATATGACTTGTATCGTAATATTTAGCATATGCACATTCCTTGCAAGGCCTGAGGAGGATGGGCTTTTATCAAGTTTTTTTTCCTTGCCACAGTCGCCTTTGCTTTGCTTACCAGGGCACATACAATAAGACACAATTTTCAGTGAATAGCATAGATGATGAAATGTGCTTTTCACAAAAAAAAATGTCACTGAATCTGCACTAAAGCATTTTCTAATACTGTTGTGTCTCCTGTAGGGGTGAAGGTTCTGCTGGACGACATTGGATCAAACATCACCACTTTCAACAAGCTCTTCCTGGTTCACAGCTCTCTGACCAACTTCACCAAAATGATCTCTCACACACACTCACAGATCAAGGACATCTACCCTCAGGTTGATCAGATGGATTTCTACAGGTGCTTCAAAGGACTCAACTTGACTAGACAAAAACTAGTCACAAACTTTATTGTCCTTGTTTTCGAGGCAAAAAGTCTTCCATGTGCCCTTGATGTTGTTTATAATGTTTTTGTTTTCAGGTGGATCTGTTGTATTACCCTGTGCTGTATGGTTGTGCTCATCCTCGCCTTTAATTTTCTGGGTTTGTTGTGTGGTATTCTGGGATTCGACAGGCACGCAACTCCAACCACACGTGGTTGTGTCTCTAACACAGGAGGCAACCTGCTCATGGCGTGAGTTTGAGTTTTTACATCAGTCTTCAAACCCATCAAATGGATGTGTTATAAGACAGCTTTGTCTGCACTCATTCACACTCTGCACTCTTCCTCTGTGTCTCAGTGGTGTGGGCTTCAGCTTCCTGTTCTCCTGGGTGCTCATGGGAGTGATAACAGTTCTGTTTTTCGTGGGTGGGAATCTAGAAAAGCTTGTGTGTGAACCCTTTCAAACCCGACAGCTGTTTAAGGTAAGAGAAACGACACAATGTCAGAAGTTTTTGCTTTCATTAAAGCACAAGATGATGTATCGATCATCTCAAATCATGCTGGAGAACATGATCATAGGGCTTTACATGAAATTCTGAGTTTATGCAGCTCGAGTGCTGCTGTCATTAAAACAATTGACAAACCAAATAGTAAGACATTCTAAAATTCATGTTCTGTTTTTGATTCAGTATTTCCCCATATTAAAATAAAATAATAATAAATATTAAAATATGATTTGAACATTTTGGTATTAATAAATTGTGTATATATTATATTATATTTTTAATGTTCATGTGGATGATATAATTTGTAATTAATTTTCACTAGTTGTCTCAGGCATTCGGCACCCATTGTATATATGCTGAAAGACAAATAAATTCACCTAACAATACGAGATACAGTGTGATTATGTTGTGTGTAGGTGTTAGATACGCCAAACCTGGTCAACTCTGCTTGGAGAAACTTCATACCAGGATACCTGTACAATGACCCTGAGATGGACCTTACAGCGTATTCTCTCTACAGGTAACCTTGTTATGTATATCTAATAAATAAAAAATGAACAATTATATTACTCTATAATAATGCTGTTAAGTATTGGTGCTGTAAGTGCAAGGTTTTTTGGCAAAAAAAAATATTTGGACAAATATATAAATTGTAGTGCATTAAAAACTAAATGTTGAATCAAATATGCAAACAAATTACACATTTTCTCTGAACTAACTTTTCTGAGCCATTTTACAATAGATTTGTCTTCGTCCTTCAATAGTCCAGCAGATGGCAGCAGAGAATTAAAAGTATGAAATGAAAGTCTGATCATAATAAAATAGAGTAAGGTTTGATTTCCCCCCTTTTTCTCTCTTCTTTTGCAGTAATTGTAAGGACAACAGAGGGATTTACTCAGCTCTTCATCTGGATAAGATCTTCAACATCTCAGCCTTCTTTAACACTAGTGTTGTGAGTGGATCCAGGCATAGCGTGCACACGCACAAATAAATTTACAGTGACATTCAAAGTCACACTCTGAGATTAGTGATGCTACCGTTTACACCAGAGAGCACCATTTTGAGAGCTAGGCATTTTAAACTCATTACTATCTAACAACAAATGTGATTGTTCAGACAAATTTAAGCTGACTGTGGGCATTAAAAAAAGTTGCATTAAAAGATCATATTTTACCAGGATAACATCTCGGATTACGCATGTAACCATGATTCCCTGAGAGGGAACGAGACACTGTGTCCTCTAGTGGGCACTATGGGGAATGGCATCGGCATGACCAGTGTCTGAAGCACGTGTGAAAGCACTCCAATCTATTGAACCACGCAGCCCGTGACTTCATTACCGGAAGTACAAGAGATCGCCTGTAATGCATGTCATCAACTTCTTTGTCTGAAGGAGACGTGAAACAGGCAAGCCCTAGCTATGGCAAGGGGACACATTGTCTCGTTCCCTCTCAGGGAGCCATGGTTACATGTGTAACCCGAGACGTTCCCCTTCAAGGGAACTCGCACTGCATCCTCTAGTGGACACTATGAGGAATGACATACTAGGGCTGGGTAAAAAATATAGATTTTCTCGATTTTAGTTGATTCTCATTTTTATGAAACAATATAGATTCATAAATCCCAAGAATCGATTAGTCTAGGCTGTCAGATAATGAACGGAACATTGTAGCGTGCCTCCCATCCAATAAATTGCAATAAGCTTTGTGATTTGTTATTTTTGATATGAAACAAAGTCTCAGATTTAAAATTCTGTCCATTTTATTACAATATTCAAATATTAAATTCCTTTTTGGCGCTGTTTAATGTGGAGTGACAGATCTCTGTAGCGCCTCAGTTAGAAGTGGCAGCGCGAACTGATCATCTCCGCTTTAATAGCAGTTACAGCATGAAGTAAACATAAATGAACATCTGATGGTGTTAAAAGAAAGAGTACAACTTACCGAAATCCATCTCCTGTCTCATGTAATCGCTCAATCAGTGTTTCAAACGCGGAAAGATGACAATAGCTTGTAAACAATGTGTCACGTTACGTCACATTTACCACAGAAAAACATATTCGGTGACCATTAACTCATTAGTCAGCTAGAAGAATGAACTCTAGAGAGGAGTATTTTGCTAAATATGCACCATATAACATATTCATTATAATTTTTACTGTTCTTCAATATTTAATTTATGTTTGATTAAATCCGTCAAGTTTTTGTAATAACCACCATTTAAATGTTTATATTTCAAAAAACGAATTGGAGTAGAAATATAATTGTGTAATTTAAAGTTAAAGTTAGTATTATAACTTTAATATTACAAAAACCTTATTGAGTATAGTTTAAGTGTTTGTATACAAATCAGCAAATTTCAACCTTCCAAAAATATTGTTGACTCTCAGGTATATTTTACAGCATAAGTTGAGCGATCTTTTCCTTGAGAAAATTGCCATGTTCTGTACCTGATATCTCATCTCATCTCATCTCCAACATCCCATTCAGCCAAGTTCGGAACACAACTGTCCTCAAACAGCTATGTCCCTAAAGGCAATGAGCCATCTACTTGAAACCCTAATGCAGGGGAGACAGCCCAAAGCATGTGGGTTTGCAGGGGACCGCCTTCTTGAAAATACCCTGATATCAGGGGAGGCAGCCTAACATATCAAAAAGGAACCTCAGGGGGACAGCCTACATAAAGCCCTAGAATGTGGGGAGGCAGCCCAACCCAGCTACCAGAAATATTAAGTAGGGAAAGAGCTCACAACTCATGGGGAAGATCTTATCAAAGGAAACCAGCCACAGCCAGTACCTCTATGACAAAAAACTTCCCGAATAGGGAGCCTAAAAAAAAACTTGACCTATAGCCATAGGTGTACCGTCTAATTACAAGGGAAACAGCCCAAGCCAAAGAGCAGCTCGTCAAAGGGAAACTATCCTCAGACGGTTACCATCTCTAAAGGTGAGCCACCGTAAATACACCGGAGGCAGCCCGACCTGAGATGCTGCTACAAAGAGAGCAAGGAACCCTACTTAAAACCCAAAATCATTGGGAATGGACATCTTGCTAAAATCTTCATGAAGGGGATAGCCATCAAAGGAAACTGTTCTTAGACAAGTGCATCTTTGATAAACTTCCACTTAAGAGAGGTAACAAGAGGGGCTTGAACGGAAACTTTCTACTCCTCCCGTGCCCCTCTTACAACCCCCGTGCTTGATCCCGCCTCACTGCAAGGGCGACCGCAGAAACTGAACCACAGAGTGTAGGAGCTCAACTCTTTCATATTACACCGCTTCTTATTTGTATAAAGAATTAGAAACAACATTGAATTCCTGAAAGGGAAAACATTTCCCGGCAGGTCACTTCCATACTCCTCCTAAAATCCACACAAACGGTCCGGCTATCTGCCTTGACAAACAGTGCGACTCGAACCGCAGATGGTAGGCTGTCAATTTCACCGCGACTGCATCGCGCAGCATGCATTCAGCTTCCACGAGAGCCGAATGTGCTCTGTACAAAGGCTAGAATCCCTCGAGAACCAAGCAAGAACAGAATCCACTGCCGTGAATGCATCGCTATGAGCCCATTCAACTCCCACGAGAGGCGAACGCGCTCATGCAAACACTGTCTAATATCTCGGGTGAAGGTGAAGCAAAGAAGAACCAGGCTTCTACCTTCCCTCTCAGTAATACCACGAATGTATACGATAAGCAAATCCTGCTTCCTCAAGAGTCGAAAGCACTCCATCCATGCTTTTCCACAAAGAAATAAGAGCAATGAGCGCATTCAACTCACTCAAGAGCTGAATGCACGTGCTTCTCGACCACACAACATACGAGTCGCATGAATCTGTAGGTATTAAAGCAAAGCCTCTCAATGAGCACCTTTAGTTTCCTCAAAAACTAAATGCGCACGCATCTCACTCATGCACAAAGTGTATCAATCATACATGTCCTCAGGTCCTCAAATGGAGGCACGCACTATGGATTGTGTCTTAAAGGAAATGCACACCATTCACTATTTTCAGTAACACTCTCGAAAAAAAATGTTGTAAAGTATGTTTTTCCAACCCAGTGTTGTTGTTTTTCTCTCTGTTATTTTGAATTAGCAAAATATCTCAAAACATTTCATGCATAACCATTTGAAACATTTTATATAGAGCATCTATAAATTCCTTCATTTTAGCAGAATGATTTTTGTTTTCACTTAAAATCCTTCAAGCCAACATTCTTGATTCACACAGGACCCAAAAATCTGAGACCACATTAAATGGAATGTTTTAGGATTTTTATGAAATGTAAAATAAAGAAAATCATGTGAACTGCTTTATACAAACGGACAAATGATTGCTCCCACTGTAGCACAGGATGCTCTTTAGATCTTCTCAAATGATGCTGGAGAACATAAATATCAGGTTTGCACAAACTTGTGGAGCACATGCAGAACAAGTGCTGCTTTTAAAGCAAAAAAAGGGACAAACTAAATACTAAGACATGCTGTTTTCAATCCAACTTTCCACAAATAATTTAAATACTACAGAATAATAAAAATTTTGGTGTTAATAGGTTATGTTTATGTATTCTTCATTTTTATCATTTTATGTATTTTTTATAAATATATGTCTGAGCCACTAGTAACTATGATAATAAAAATAAGTAAATATTTTACTATTATTATATATATATATTTTTTTTTTTGTAAGTTATTGTATTTTACTAGTGGTCCCACTGGTCAGACTGTATGTTCTAGAATATTTCCTCATCACAATCCATCCAGATTTCCTAAACTCATGTCAGAATTATATACAGAGCCTCTTTTCTTTCTGCAGTACTCCAAGGATGTGTCGAGGAAGTTTGAAGGGATGAAGGTGGACCTGCGTGACATCATTCTTCTGGAGTCAGAAGGCAAACAGAATCTCATCAGTTTCACTGAAACTGGGATTAATGAGATTGACTTTGCTGCCTATTTGAAGGAGGTACATAACATACATAAACACATTTTAATTGAAACTTTTGAACCATAGGCTTTGGTGCATGTACAGTCCCAGGTCAGATGAGAAACTGTGGGTTCTCATGTGTTTCTGTTCATCTTTTCAGGTTAATAAAGGAGTGACTCGCATTAATCTAGTTGATTTCGCTCGTCAACTTGATGCTCAAGCTGATCAGTTGGTAAGATTTATGAGGTTTATAAGATTTATGTTTGGTCCAATTAAAATCATTCTAAAAGGAGTATAAAATTTAATTATTAATTAACTTTTCCACGACATTCTAATTTATTGAGATGCACCTGTATATTACATGAAATTCAGTGGCATGGTTAGTACCTGTATGAATGTTTCTTGGGCCAATTCTCATTTACACTGTATCTCTCTCTTTTGCAGTCTAAAGGGACCTTGCAGACCTCATTAAAGGGACACGCTAATACTATAAGGCAGATCCACATCCAGCAAGTCATCCCACTGGAGCAGTCCATGGTAATCTATCCCTGTTTCATTGATGCTCATTTGAATGATTATCTTCTTATCCATGAATGTTTCTGTTGAACCGTTTCTATTCTACAAGTGGGACTGATTGTTAATGAAAAACTTCTCAAAGATGTTCATATTTCTGTTCGTACCTGAATTTAAACAATCTCTTTTTTAATTTTCTTTAACACATTCAACTTGATTTATGGCTTCCGAGAAATATGTGAAAGCAAGGGTAAGCCTGCCAGTCATAGCTGCATAACCTGCAAGTTGTTTGCTCCTTTTGGTATGGTTTCTCTGTTATAACATAATGGAAAAAACAAGCATCTTTTTAGAGCAGCCTTCATCATGTCTTTGTCCTAGTGACATGTTTTTTAAACTTCCAGATGTGTAAATTTGAATATTTACACATTCAAAAACTGGTCAAAGGTGAAATGTTGAATTTCTGTCCATCTAGTGGCATCAAATAGAAAATTGTGATGTTTTCTGTCGTTTTCACACCATTGGTTAAAGGGGTCATATGATGCGATTTCAATTTTTCCTTTCTCTTTGGAGTGTTACAAGCTCTTGGTGCATAAAGAAGATCTGTAAAGTTGCAAAGACTAAAGTCTCAAATCCAAAGAGATATTCTTTATAAAAGTTAAGAATCAGCCACACCTACCTAAAACGGCTCGTTCTAGCATGCCCCCTCATACCTACGTCATCTGGGAAGATTTGCATAACGCCGCCCAGATGTTCACGAATAATGTTCTTTTTAGCAGCATCATATGACCCCTTTAAAGCATTTGCATTTGCATGACTGGAATGTTTATTTTCCAGTCCATACTAGTTGCTATACCACTGATAGATATGATCTTACGTGAAATATAAAGTTCATCAAATGATTCCCCCTGTGTGTCAAATGCATCATATAGTACAACAGTTTTGTGTCACATTCTTTATTTATTTGACATAATGTGCATGTGATGCATGTAATGCAACTATCAGGTTGCATGGCATTTTGTCACCCTGCTGATTCCCTTCAATTGTGATTCCAAAATGGTCATTTACAGTTTTTCTTTTTGTACCATTTTATAAGCATTTTAGATTATAGATCATTTGGACATGATTCTTGCTTTGTGTCTATTATCTTTCTTATTAAAGAGCACACTTAATCAGAGCATCAGACTTCTGGAAAGGACGTCCTCAGACCTGCCTGTAAGTTGCTCATTTTAAAACTGCCACCAGTTTAAAAATATCGCAACAGATGCATTTCAGAACATGCTTTCTGATGAGCAGTAAATGCATTGGTTTTTAGGTCAGAGTTAGAGACGTATTAGCAGCCATTGATGCCACCCAGTTCCTAATTTCCCACAATGCAACATTTGTGGTCAATCAGGTAATGTGAAAGAAAAAAAAACATGATGTGAAAAAACATCTGAAATGATTGGTGTATAGTTGTATTGTACTGATGGTTAATATATGCTCAAACAGGAAACAGAGAAATACAAGCAGACTATTATTGGCTATTTCAAGCAGTATATTGACTGGATCAGAACGTCTGTGAGTATTTTTAACTGTATTATCTATCTGAAATAGCATTAATGTTAGATTGGTGACGATCGGTTAGTTCTTCTGCATTATTTTGTTTTGAAACCCTTTTGTTTTGCTGCATCATTGTAGCTGGCCCTGGAGGTCGCTACCTGTAAACCACTCAGCAACATTGTGGACACAGCCGAGATCCTAGGCTGCAGTTTCCTGCTGGATTCAATGGTAAGATGGCCATCGGTACTATAACCACTGGAACCACTGGAAATGAAATTGTTCTCATCATTTACTCACCCTCATGTCCTTCCAACCCCGTTATTTTTTGACATCCATTAAATAAAAAAAGTGTGTTTGGTTTTACATACAGTTAATATGGATGGTGATTTATATTGCCAAAGCTTAAAAGAGTACAAAAGGCACTAATAAAAACAGCATAAAAGAAGGCCAAACTACTCATCCACTATATATTCCAAGTCCTCTGAAGCATTTTGTGAAGATATAAAATTATCAATAATGTGGTTGGAAAAATATCAGATTAAGTAAATAACAAAATTTTCATTTACGGGTAAACTATTTGTTTAAAGAGCTAGACAACCCTTTCAAAAGTTTAGGGTCAGTAAGATTTTTTTTTCTTCTTTTTTTTTTAAGAAAAAAAGAAGACTTTAAGAAAGAAAGAAATGTTTTTGTTGAGTGTCAAAATCAGCATATTAGAATGATTTCTAAAGAATCATGTGACACTGAAGTCTGGAGTAATGGCTGTTGAAATTTCAGCACCGAAGCAATTGCATTCTATGATTGGGGTCGGCTTAACTGAAATGATCCTTTGGAAGAGGATAGGACTTCTGTGTCATTTGTCATGTCATCGCTACACACACACACTGGTTTCCATCTTTTATGGGTACATTCCATAGAAGTAATGATTTTTATACTGTAAAAACTGTATTTTCTATCCCTTACCCTGAACCTAGCCCTCACAGAAAACTTTTTGCTGTTTTAGATTTTGATTTATAAGATGTTTTCCTTATGGGGACCAAAAAAAAATGTCCCCACAAGGTCAGAATTTACTGGTATTACTATACTTGTGGACATTTGGTGTAGTAATTAGTGGCTAGCTGCTCTTTCCACAGACACCCAAAGATTGACCCCAGTATAATTCTCTGACTGCAGCAGAAAGAACGTAAAGTTAAAGTGTTTAACCTCAACCTGGTTGTTTTTGTTTGTTTATTTTTGTTTTGTTTTCGTTATTACACTAAGTTGGCAGTCCGTTCAATTCAGTTCAAGTATTTGTATAGCACTTTTCAAAGCAAAGCAGCTTTACAGGCTATGCTTGTTACAATTAGGAGGTATTCTGTTATCAGCAAGAGACAAGTGTATCAAAGTAATGTCCAGTTATAATATATATCTGGGAAAGAGTAATATACTGTACAGTACAACAATGTTACAATATAAGGGTAATATTTGACAGTTTTGTACGTTGATCCGAAGCCCTCATCTGAGGTCTTTGTAAGTTGCAGTCAATGAATCCTGATGGCTACTTATTTGCATAAACATAAACCTATTTGTTAAACTTTTCTCTACATTTTGTCGCGTGGCTGGACATGTTGCATCCAATCGATTGAATGTGAACGTTCGTTTATATAGATAACCTTTTATGCTAGAGATCCACTTTCTGTATTTTGGAAAAGCTTCTTGTCAGAAGAAATACATGTATGGAGAGTATGTTGATCAAAGTGGCATTTATGGTTAAGCGGAGTGCAGTTTTTGGGTGGCTTTAATCTTGTGTTTATTTGATGCAGAACACATTCTGGTTTGGATTAGGCTGTTCCACACTGTTTCTGCTCCCTAGCATTATCCTGTCCGTCAAACTTGCCAAGTTCTACCGCAGAATGGACACAGAGGATGTCTACGACGAGTAAGTATCCCAAATACACCAAGTTTACGATTGTTATTTAGCACCCCAATGATTACAGTTCCATAAACAAAGTTAATATTGTTTGTATATTGTTTTACTCTGCTAAAGAAAACAGATGACAGGACTGGAGCTAACTGTTGTACAATGAATAATATGCATAATATATGAAAGTGCAAATGCTTTGTTCTTTTCTTTCTTTTGCCCAGAATAGTTAATAAATCTTTTTTCCTCTCTCTGTGCTCTTCTTTCTAGTTCTTCTGTGTCAGGGACTTGGCATTTCACCTTATGATAACCATTCTTGCTATTTCCATCTTTCTTCATTCTTCGTCTTTCTGTCCAGCACTTTGCACTTTGAGAACTACATGTATATATTGTACAAACAGTGTTTTGTTTTAGCGTTTTTCGAGCATTCATGCATTTACAGTCTAGATCATTGCGATTGACAAGTCACCAAGTGTCTTGACCAGAGATGTCCATTTTGACATCCGTGTGATGTCTCTGTCCACCACTACAGTGCATCTCTGTAACATTTTTGCTTGTCTTGTATCTTTTTAGCATTGAGACAATTCCCATGAAAACGTAAGCTGGTTTTCCCCTCATACTTTTGCTGTCGACTTTACTGCTAAAACGATATCCCTTTCCTGTTTTGTACATAAAACTTTCTGCTTAATGGTGCTGGTTTAAGCTCTAAGCCTGGGAATGCTTCTCAGATGAAGGGCGCTGCTTGTGTTGGTGTGTTATCTTTGAAGCTCCCTTGTTTAACATGAAGGGCTGTTAAAACAGAGACCTTAAGAGCACACTTCAAAACTATTGCTGTACATTTTACAAGATATGTTTGCAGTTTATACCGTTTCATACTCTATCTTCCGTGTACATTTTTCAAGAATGCTTTAAAATTAAGCTTGTCCATAGTCACATGCCATTTCTCTCATGTCACATCATGTTTCGTTTACATTTTTGTCTATGTAATGTTTTATTTCGGTATGGAAATTGGTAATAATGGTTATTATAATGAACATTTAGAATGTATCCAAAATCCTGTAATGGCAAGGTAATCAGAACCATATCCCCGTACACCCTGCGTTACGCTAATAAACTGCATGCATTGGGTGGAACGATTGAGGTGATAATTAGGTATCAGAGGTCTGATGCATGCGCAGTTTGAAGTTGCCCTTTGCACAAATGAGCACCTGGGAGTCTGATATTTCCGCTTTTTTTGTCATTGTTAAAATAGTGCTTGCATGCTGACTAACTCAATAGCAGTAATGCAGAATTTGTGTTTTGCACTCTTGCATGATATTTGAATTTATATTAAAGGGGTCATATGATGTTGCTAAAATGAACATTATTTTGTGTATTTGGTGTAATGAAATATGCACCAAGAGCTTGTAACACTCCAAAGAGAAAGGAAAAATTGAAATCGCATCATATGACCCCTTTAACATTGCATACATTAGATTTCGCAGAATTTATTGACTGGCAGAATTCACGTTTGTGCATGTATTCAAATTTTTGTCTTCTCGCATGACTCTTGAAATTCTCACTGGACTGCTATGGCTGAGAATGGTCTTTCTCTCCAACTCATCACTAATGATGTGTTTCAACAGCAAAGCATGTAACAGAGGTCAGGATGGTGTGCTAGAATGACACAGAGCTTGGATACATCCATCCATCATTCAGAAATTTGGGTCCAATGAGATTTTTTAAAAAAGCTAGCAATTATTTGATTAAAAAGTATAGCAAAAAGAGTTATATTTTGAAATATTGTTACAATGTAAAATAGATTTGTTTTAAAACGTTTTAAATGTAATTTATTTCTGTGATGGCAAAGCTGAATTTTCAGCATCATTACTCCAGTCTTCAGTGTCACATGATCCTTCATTAATCATTCTAATATGCTGATTTGCTGCTCAAGAAACATTTTTATTATAATCAATGTTGAAAGTAGTTGTGCTGCTTAATAGTTTTATGGAAGCTCAGATACATTATTTTTCAAGATCCTTTAATGCACAGAGAGTTCAAAAGAACATGTATTTGAAATAGATCTATTTACTATTATTTAAAAAAACAAATGAATTAATAAAAATAAATCTTACCCCTAACTTTTGAATGGTAGTTTATGTATTAGATGTCACACGCTTAGACTGAATAGGTCTTAGCACTTATGCTAAGACATGATAAAGCGATGATAAGGTTTTTTCACATTTTCAAGAATGGAATTGCTTGATTAGAATTTAAAATTAAAATAGTTATACTAAATGTGCTGTAGGCGATAACAGAGTTTCTAATTGGCTGTTTTCAGATTGGTTCTTTTTTTAACCTAGTGCTATCACGGATACATGTGATTTCTGTCAGGTGGTAGGACATTTTTATGTGAGGCGTTTCAAATAAAAATTACTTACAGCACCTTTATTAGTAGTAGTGCTATATGTGTCATTTTAAAAGCCCTGTCCTGATCTTCTATTGATGGGTTAAAGATGGATGGAGAGCTAATGGGGGGCATCTCAGTGGTGTGTGTGGATTTTAAATACACTCCAGGCCTGACAGTTTTTCCCTTTGTGCCTCAAGCATCCCTACCTATGACACTATGACTCGATTCCCACGGGCCTCTGCGCCCCCGCGCCATGCCGACTGGTGACTCTGAGGAGGACGGTCTGTTTTGTAACTACAGAAAGGTACTGAGAGCTGCAGATGAGAGCAAATGGACTTGATCTTTCTCTTTATAACAAGCACTCCTCCTCTCCAAATTAATGACATAGCTATTTTAGTATGCATTTGTTTGATTGCCTCTGAACATTTTCACTCCTGTATCCTCTATTGACATGCACTTTAAAATATTTCTGTTTTGTTGTTTTTTTTTTCTGTCATTACACCAACAGCATGTTTAGTTTTTGCATCCCATCTTCAGAAGCATTCCACCAGGATAACTGCTGGCAGCTCTGCAAAGCTTTATGTGAATTGTGTTTTTTAGGGTCCATCACTAACCACTCGCTCGTATCATTGTGATCCACCAGTGTTTGACTTCAAACATTCCTGACAGCTCTGCAAACAGATAGATGTCAGCGCTCACTGTGTGTTTTATTTCTTTCCCTTGGTCTAAAATCTCATCTCCCCTCTCATGTCTCATGTGCACCAGTTCATTCGTATCAGTCTTTGCCATTTATCATTCATTTTGAAACTGCGCAGCGGGTGTAATTCTGCGATATTTGTTTCTTTTCTCATACAGTGATATTGGAAACTGGAATTAAACCTTTGTGGAATGTAAGTTGTTTAAATTGACCTTGTTTTACATTAAACCAGTGCTTCTCAACCTTTTTGACCCCAAGGCCCCCCACTGTCCGCAACAATATTCAAAAGCCTCATGATTTTTCCAAGTTGTTTGTGATTTTTTTTAAACTTCTTTTCAATATCTTATATCTATCTGCAGAAAAAAAGCTGTTGTTGAGGGGGTGAATTAAAACAAGCCATATCTTAATTTTTAGTTGTTTTAACTTATTTGAATGCTTGTTTTGTCTTATTTTAAGTAGCGGGTCCCCTTCCCCTGGTTGAGAACCACTGCACAAAACAGAATGAAAAGTTCATAAAAACTAACAAAAAATATTGTATGCATTGTACAAGACTAATGTTTTCTTCTCACTATGTATTTTTTCTTTACCACAGACTCTCTCTGTGAACAGCAGGCTCAGCTCTTAAGAAAAAGGAAACTCACATACTTGAAGCTGAGACCTGTTGTCCACGTTCCCATCACATCAGTGAAGATTGTTGTTTTGACTAATTTGCACCCTTATGATTATAGTACTGTCTTATGAACTGTCCCCTCAACAAGCTATTCTCTGATGTCACATCCTGCCATAGTCAGGGAGGCTTCACAGTATAAGGCTGTTTTAACTACTACATGTGTCTTTGTTTACAGTCATTGAGAAATCATGTGTGACGGGCATAACAATGATTCGACTGCTGCATTGCTTTTTATAGTGCTTTTTAACATTGTAGAGAATACAACATGTTGTCAAGTCGAGTCCACTGAGAGGCCGAATGGGTTTTTACTGAAACGGAGCAAGCCAGCCACCAACGAGCCACAAATATTACACATAAACATGGATGTGTAGGTGTTCGAAAACATGCTAAGTGCTAACTAGTGCTAATTCGGTACAGATAGATGTTGTCAAGCCATTTCAAGGGTGAATGCATTGGTGCCTTTTCAGATTTTTAGCTCGTGGTACATGTTAGCCACAAGTCGCAAGAGCAGGTCTTTGATTGGTTTTACCTAATTATTGAAGGTGAGATCCCTAAACCACATTTGATACTGAGCTGTGGTTAGCAGTTTATGCTCACTTTTGTACTGAGAATTTAAAGGGTTAGTTCACCCAAAAATTATCCCATAAATTACTTAAAAATGGTCCTGGCTATTCCAAGCTCTATCATTGCACTCAGCGGGTGTTGCATGCTTCAGTCCAAAAGAAGTTAAATAAAAAGCGCCCATCCATAAAAAAACAAAAGTGTTTCACACGGCTCCGGGGGGTGAACAAAGGCCTCCTGTAGCAAATCAATGCTTTTTTGTAAGAAAATTATCCATATTCAAAACGTAATAATCACTTTAATGTAGCTTGCGCCAACAGTTGTACACAGAAGCAGCTCCGGGCGGATGACGTATGAGGTCAGCGCTGCGCATGCGCCGGTGAGTCTCGTGAAAACCAATGTTTGTTAACAGGAGCAAAGGAAGCAAAGTTTTCTTACTTTAGCAAAGGAAAACCTTGGCTTATATCGAAATCCTCTCAACATTCTTCTTTACAAATCCTCGTTTTGTACTTCACTAAGTGACCGTTGTTTTGTTTTGATCTCTCCGCTGTTTCCACGTGCGTCACTTCTGAGCGGCGCATGCTTAAAGCCGACCTCATACGTCATCCGCCCGGAACTGCTTCCGTGTACAACAGTGAGCGCAAGCTACATTAAAGTGATTATTACGTTTTGAATATGTTTATTTTTCTTACAAAAACGCATTGATTCGCTACAGGAGGCCTTTGTTCACCCCCCGGAGCCGTGTGAGTCGAGACACTTATTTTTATGGATGGGCGCTTTTTATTTAACTTCTTTTGGACTGATGCATGCAACACCCGCTGAGTGGCATTAAACAGCTTGAAAGATCAAAGACAATTTTTAATATAACTCCGACTGGATTCCTCTGAAAGAAGAAAGTCATATACACCTAGGATGACTTGAGGGTGAGTAATTTATGGGCTAATTTTCATTTTTGGGTGAACTAACCCTTTAAGGTATGATGCATTTGGATTTACTAACACCCCTAAAAGTTCTTGCTAGCTTTATGTACTTTAGTTTTTCTGAATATATCAGTTATTAATGATATTTCAGTTACTAATTTTGACAACTTGTACTAACAACAATTGCTCTCCAACACTGTTGGATTTCTGTAAACTACTGATTATTACTGTGTGACACCAAATCTTGTTTCATTGTAGGTCTCAGGTTTTAGGGCTTTTTGTTTACTTGATATAACAATATTTGAGTTCATTTGTCAATGTGTGAACTTCATGTCAACTTTAAAGTGAGTGAATGTACCTCAGAGAGACATTTGCTTGTACGAGTGCAAGAGAAGACCACAGAGCCCATTTACGACGACTTTTACGGAGCCTATTTAACGCTGTCATTGACAATTACGCCACCAAATATTTCAGCCGTTTAATGTTAGAGACATTATGTCAGGTGCTACATATTTTTGCTCAGATCCTTCACTCGTGTATATGACAGTGTTATCAGGGCCTCAGGTAAAACGTTGTACTTGATTTAAATCCAGAAAGGTCCCTTCACCTCACAGTCTCATTGTTTTGCCATACCACACATAGCATGCGCATACTTGGTGTTCAAGCTTACTCGAAGATGTTTAGTTGTGGTGGGCCTGGTTGTCAGTGCCGTTGGTTTTCAAGTCCATGTGGTTAAGCTGGCTAAAACTGTAAAATATTACAAATAAAACTTCAGATGGAAAAACATTCTGGTGTTGTAAATTCCCAATTCAACCGCTGTACATAGCATTCAAACTGAGTTCACAAAAAAAATCCGTTTTAAACAAATAAAAACAAGGAAATACTTCTATTTGTATACAGAGTATAGCTTACAAAACCTACAATGTCATGGAAACACAAAACCAGTGTTGGAAACTTTTAGACTTTCTTTCTTTTATAAAGGGACAATATTTGCCCACAGGAATTCGTTTTCATAGACACTTTTACTAAGAGGGCATATACTGTATACACACACATATATAGATATAGATATAGATATATATGAGCCCAATTTTGACAATTAATTGAAATGTGTGTTTATAACCAATACTACATAGGCCTAGAATAGAATTAACTACATCCAATGTTAAATAACAAATGGGAAATTTCATTTGAACATTTAAAATATCTGGGGCATTTTTGTCACTTTTGTTGTAATTTTGTATACAGAGCTCTACATTGATTTCTACCCCATACCCTAAATACAAATAAATGTATAATGATTTGCTCCATCAAAGTAGGTTTGTTTTTAATATAAAGGCATGTTCACACCAAGAATAATAACTGTGATTCTTTAAAACAGGATGGATTCTGATTAGCTCTGATTCATTGTTTTCATCATTCATCAAGTGTGAAAGTAATTCCAGTGATATCATTCCTCTGTGCCTTTATTATTACAATTGTGGTGGGGACTCTGCTATTCTTTTAAATTTTGAAATATTTTTAAAACTATCTTATATAAAACTACATCTTTTTATATAGTTATTGGCCTTCGTGTGAATGGGCCTTAACCCTTGTTTCTGTCAGTTTTCTCCAGAAAAGTCTCCATGAGTTAGACAGGCAAAGGAAGTCTGGGACTTGTGGAAGCCAGTAAAACGCTGCAAAGGAAGTCAAAAATAAGAGCTGTAATTGGCCTCTAACACAGTCACAGATCCTTTGATTCTAGTTGAGCTGACTTGTTCTGGATGTTTACATTTTAATTCCTGCATCAGTTACAAGGACCCCCTACTTCCAGATACGATTGATTGCTTGAAAAATACAGATGTGATTAGGTCAATGTGTCTGTCGTAATTCAGAAGTTCAGACACACTTTTTCACTAATGGCCTCTAACTCCATTCCTCATTTCTTTAAGTGAACATGTTTATATAATTATCCAATCATGTGCCTGACATGTTCCAAATCAGAGTATGATCCTTCATGTAGAACTGTCAAAATCATTTAAAATCAAGTCAATACTGTATGTTTAGTAAGAAATGCCTGTACATTTCTGCCTAAGAGTAAAAAATTAAAAACATATAATTGCATTGTCACCTTGTGACTTCATACCTCTTGTAGTAAACTTTAACTCAAAATTACCTTTTATATTTTTTATTATAGAAATGTTTTTAATAGTTTAGTGAGAGAAATAAAACATTTTATAACATTTGAACCAACATGACTGCTTTGAACCAACATGTTACATCAGGTTGGCATACAGTTTTTAAAAGAACCTTTTTTTTCTACATTTGAAGGACATTTTTAAAAATATACTATAAAAACCTTTTTGCAATGGAAAGGTTCCAGGGATGTTAAAGGTTCTTCATGGAACCATCAATGCCAGTAAAGAACCTTTATTTTTAAGACTGTACGGTCACACAAGGAAGTCCACTAAACTGGTTCTTTTTTAAGTACTCACATAACCCAAGATTAAAATTTCTTGATGGTAGGCATGGACAGATTGTTTCCCAACATCATAAACACAAAGTATGACTGGAAAACTAATATAGCTGCGGTGTACTGTGAATTACACAAAAAATGCTGAAAAAGTTCCAGAATTGGGGTTGTAAAGGAGCCGGGCGGGAAGCCAGCTTGTGGGGCAACTTTTTTTTAACCTCAAAATACCCTTTTTGTGACCAAAGCCTTTAAATACTGGAGTCAGAAGTCCCTCCGCCAGTGTCAGCGCCTCACAACATGTGGACAGTCACAAGCACACTCCTGCTTACATGCTGCCTCCGGGCAGCTCTCGTTCAGAGCCAGGATCACGACGACATCAAGCCAGGATACAAGAGGAACGTTTGGGAAGACGAGATCGAGTTTCTTACCAAAGGCGCCAGAGATGAATGCAGCTTGAGTGTGACAGGACAAGGCGATCTCACTAAGCTCCGCATTACTTGCCTGGGCCTGGAGCGCTCTTACTGGTGCGAGTACCAGGGCAAGCCTCAGGTCTGCCGCTCTTACAACAACAACCCACTGCATTATTTCAGGCAGATCATGTGGGACCTCCGCAAGCTGCCGAATGCTTGCCAGGGCCAGCGCGTCCTCAAGCCTCTCATGTGCAGGAGAGCTTCGGACGAGGCCCAGATGGTCTTCACAAGCGCATCCTCTTCAGACACCAAGCCAATGGACAGGCCCTACAGACCAGCCCCTGACAGACCCGTGCAGATGAGACCACAACAGAGACGACGAGAGCAGAGGCCAAAGCCTACGAGACCACAAATATTAAGAGCCCAATCAGCCAGAACTGCTCAGGACAAGCCGAATCAACCCAAAGCTGTCAAATACACCAAACAGAGGAACATTACTACACCCAAACCAACTACTCCGGTACCCACGAGTGAGGCCAAGAAACTTGCCCAGGACTACTGCTGGCGCTCTTTTCAGGGTGTCTGTTCCTTCGTCATTGGGTGGTTCAGAAACTAAGAAAAGGGTAGGATTTTTTTAAATGACCACATCATATCCACCTTATTTTTTAACGTAAGAGCGGTTGGCACATTTGTTAACTGAATGTGCAAGTCTGTTATGCTGCTTGATATTGCAGACTGGTATTTTTCATATTATTTTAGTTCATTATCATAATCATAAATATTCACTGGTTTGTATCGCAAATATTTTACTGCACTTTGTTATTCTTCTAGTTTACCTATAGTGGCTAATGAATCAGAAGTCTGGCAAATTCAAAGAAAATAGCATAATTTTCCTCCTTGCAATATAATGTTGAAAATCTGAAGATACAAGTTGTTGCAAATCTGAAACCTGTGTGTCCTCTCTTTATATTACTGTAGTCACTCACATTTCCGCAGACAACAAAACCCATTTAAGATAACTCCAAATGTCTTAACAGCATGAAGGTTTTGGACTGACGGGGAGAATTGAAGGTGTTTGTTAAGACTGACAGGACTTTGGGAACACTATTAATATATATTTATGTATGACAAATGTTACAGACTCTAATGTACATATCAGAATAGACAAGATTATCAATGAATTTAGATAATTCCACATAATGCTGGCATGTTTTCTTCTCCAAATGTAAACTACATGATGAGGAACTTCATCTTATCATGTGTACTGAATGCTATATGTGTATTAATCATGCTACCTTATATATTTATGAGTGCTGACCAATTGGGTCAGCATTTCTGAAAGCTGTGGAGCCACAGGTCACTTCAGACTGTAATATATCAATGTGAAAATGTATAATGTACATGAATATGTATTTGTGTCTACTAGCCTACATTTTATAGTTGAGTAGGTAATACTTAAATTTATAAAGAGTTTTTTTTTGTTTGTTTGTTTGTTTTGGTTTGTTTGTTTGCCCTGAATACATTTTGGCTCTCTACCTTTGCTTTTTGTGTGGGGATGATTTACATGAGTGTGACAGGAGATGGCACTATTGTGTAGCCTACTGTTCTAGAATGTATCAGATTTAGGCTATTAACATACAATTTTATCAAGTGAGAGTGAATAAAAATACATATAGGCCAATAGTTTCAGTTAGAAGATGCTGTGTGTGCTGGCAATTGCAAATAGCAGTGTTTGAGTCGTTAATCGTTCTTTTGAGTCGGATCTTTTCGATCAGTTGAATCGATTAAATTAATTCATCGATCCGAACAATTCTTTGACGAATGGGTCCGAGCTGTTTTCGAGTCAACAACTCAAGATTCGAACCAAGAACCGTACTTTCGAGCATGTCCGATTCAATTTGAGCCGAGAACACGGTGAGCTGATAGTCAAGGGCGCCGCTATGGTTTCTGAGCCCCCTGGACAGCATATTGAATCGTCCTAACCTCTCCCAGCTATTTAAATTGTTGCAAATACGAGTTGTCGACTTGGAAATTATACATGAACCATTCAAATTGTTTATGACTGAGAACTTTGTATATAATTTTGATACCCGAATAACCGAGTATGATGACAATCCAGATAGCTTGTAGTAGGCTAATCGCCTCGAACTCGGCAGCCCCACGGCGCCTGCGGCTCAGACTTTGCATAGGCATGTATGAAGTATGACCTGAAGCTCGCTCTTGCACATGTTTTCTACTACGGGTCGATTCTTGTTCAGCGTAACTCACCCGGATCTGGCTGTAGAGTCTGGGCCACTGCCAGCCTCGGCTTTGTTCAGTCATAGATGGCTAAATAACATTTCGCCATTGCTGAGAAGAGGACCGTTTCATTAGTGCATGGTAGGTTATTCATTTTTATTTTTAAATACTGCATTATTAGCTGTTGTAGGCTGTTCAGACGTGTTTATTTTGGTAATTGTTCCATTATTGTACGTCTTTACATCGAGAAAGTAGCATTTACCCAACGTCCATCGTCGTACCCCATATCCTTTTTTTTCCGAGTCCGACTGTTCAAAAGAACCGATTCGCGGAAACGAATCTTTGGTCAGGACTTCACATGTATTGTAAAGTTATTTACAGTCCTCAAGTTGTAACAGTTTGGTAGAACATTCACATGTAAGTTACTATTTGTACTATGCTGATAAGTTATGATCTATAAATAAACCTAGACATGCCATCAAGTCAAAGCTTTGCCATATAATATCCTAGAACTAGACGCGTTCAAGAATGTGAAGTCTGAGGGAGGTGCGTGCGCGAGATGCTCTATAAATGGCACACACGAACTTCAGGTGCAAAACCAGATTTCACAGCTCTCGTGTATTGTTATACCAAAAGAGTTCATTTATTTTCAACAAAACCATTTGTTTGAAAATAATTCCGATGAGGACATGAAACGCGTGACAGACATTGCTTTTGTTCTGATCTTCGCCTGTATCGTGCAGCAGTTCGTACAGGTGAACAGTCTGAGAGATAGAGGGAGGAGAGCGCAGGCAGATGGGAAGGGGACAAGAAGAGGTCAACGGAATGAAAGTGATCTGAGAGGGAGATTCTCACTGAAGGACGGAGCGCGGTGCTCGTGGCGCGCAGCGCGCGGGGGTGATGCGTTTGTATTGGGAGTCACGTGCAAAAACGGGCCAAAGACTTTCGGCTGCGAATATGTAGCGAAGCCCACAGCATATGAACAGTACGCATCTAATACCAAAGCCTACCGGAAACAGATCACCCGTTCGCTGAAAACGCAGAGGAGACTGTGTCGCGACTCTACGGTGATGGTCAAAGCCGGTATGTGCCGGAGCGCGCCCGCGGAAGCGCACTTCAGACTGAAGGACACGCGGCCCTCCTCCAGAGTCCCGTTACCGCCAACCGCGGGGAATAATCACTGTCCTGACCGGATCGAGAGGCTGAAAGTGGCCGAAGAATACTGCAGCAGAGCCTGGTCTTCACTGTGTGCATTCCTCTTCTTGATGCTTGAGAATGATGAATGCGCATGATTGACTTTGAAAAACTTTTTTTCAAGGCAAATTTTATATTCCATTAATTTCTGAATGAAATTAACTTCTTGCACTCCTATTTTTTATTTATTTTTTCCTATTTTGTGATTCATTATTAGCACTTTAAATTAACTTTAATTCCATCACATAAATATGGCCATAATCCCCCCCAAAAAAAAAACATTAATCCAAATCTAATGTATTTACCGTGTATTTACATTTTGGTTTGAATGAAGAAAAAAAATCTGTGGTTCTTCTGAAACGGTCCACACAAGAATAGGCTATAAAACCTGAAATCACCTATGGGGAGGAGCCAATGGGCTCCATAAACAAAATGTCTCAAGATACATAGGCCTACTAAAAATAATGTCTGAACAAAAATGTGTAAACATCTGTGTGAAATATTAAAATTCAATAAAGTCCCCACCGTGAAAAAAAAAAACCTGTGTTGGCATGTTTGGTGTCTAGACTTAAAGTTGATGTGTAATAGAGGAAGAAGTTATCATATGAAAATGGTTATTGGTGTTTGTAATCTTACTGAGTGATCTCTTGAATAAAATGCCTTAATTCTTTTTCTTTTCTTTTCTCTTTTAGCTCTTATCCTCACCTGAATAGGAATGTTCATGACCGTTAGGAAAGGTTGTTCCAAGCATGGAAACTGGCAATTGTAGAACTTAATACTTTGCTCTTATTACTTTGACCCAGAAAGATATCAAACCTAATCCTATTGATGGCGGTATTTAAATATGTGTGCGTGTGAGCGAGAGAGAGAGAGAGAGAGAGAGAAATTGTATGTGCAAAGTATAAAAAAAAATATTAAAATGAAATGAGCTAAAACTAATAAATGAACATTTAATAAATATATATACAATTTTAAAATATATCTAAAAATAAAATCTAATTCAACTGCATCTCAACATGATAGCTTTATCTCAGGTGAAGAGTGGCTGTTTGGTCTTGCATGTACTGTCAAGTAGAAACACTGAATGACTTTAGTGGTTTAACAGATTAATCACTCCAACAGTGATCCTTGCATTCCATCTGAGGTCATGTGCTTCTTTCCTACTAGTCATTAGAAGAATTCTTGGAAACCGTTATTCTGCAAGTTCTGATGGGTGATCAAATGCTGAGGCCGCAATACACCACAACTCTTAAGCCAATGAGCCTATGTTAACTTAATGTTTAGAGCTGGAGAGATGTCAAGATAACATGATAATTAAAAGCCTAAATTAGGCTTAATTTTATCATTAGCTATTTTTCATGATTATTTGTCATAATTACTGGTATTGCAATTGGAAATGTTTCATTTTGTTGTTGTATTACAGTTTGCTTTTACAGTTTCTTACGTACAAACCCTCTGAATCACAGAGGTTTGAATATGTTCTATGAAAGCAGTAAGTTACTGTTTTGAAGCATCACATATAAACATATTTCAGGATGCAGCTCTTTCTACATTACAAGCGGTTAGTCATAAACCAAAACATTCAAGCACACAAAACCGATTTTAGCATCTTGTGGGTTTTTGGTAGCCATACCAGCCTGTGATTATGAAATTAAACACACTCACACATGTTGTGGCCTCTCCTTTCCAAAAACAACATTTCCACCAAAATTCTGAACACGTTCAGAATCCATTATTGCAGTTTGCTTATGTTTTTTATTCAATCATTTAAAGAAAACATCAATAGAAACATTTCTGGACTTCTAACATGAAAGGTAACTCAAGGAATAAAACTGTTAGTTACAGATGGTGGAAATTGTAAAATCTGTTTTATGAGCAAAGATTTGCGCATGCACACCTTTGGACATTGAGTGAAATGTGATTACTAAACAGAACAGGAGCAGGAAAACTAGTGGAGTATGAATGAGCCCAAAACTGCATAAATTTGCCTGGGGATAAGCTTGCAACAGCTATTCACACGAGGAATTCATTTGCTCATATGATTCCCAGATAAATACTTGTTGCGTGACATTTAAGAATGAAAGAATAACAATTGCTTAGATATCAGTTCTTTGCTCTTTTCGTCTATTAATGAAAGTATGGTGCTTGCTTTAGTGTATCATGCCAAATTGTGACTTAATATTCTGAAACCTCACACACACACGCTTTTATCTCCCACTGAGATTAATTCAAGCACTGCTCTCATGTAACCTCTCAAGGGGATCCTTTACTTCCTGGTGGGTCCTGTAGGGTGGGGTTTCATGAAGGGTTTCCATGTGGACAGAGGTGGCCTGATCTCACACCCTGACATTCTGAACACTGATTGGCTAAAATAATGACCTTAATAAATTCCATCCTGGAAATAGTGGAGACCTCGGTAGAAATTAAGGGCTTTGTGCTGAGAGTGCCAGTGTTGGGATTTAGTAAAGCGATTTAGAGCTTGTATCCACACACAGAATCCACACATAATAAAAGAATGTGATCTTATAAGAGTCTCAACATCTTTGTAGCTCATACTGAGTTAAGAAATGTAATATTCAGCTGTACACTGTACAAGTAAAACATGTAACAGTCACCTTAACTAATATAAATACACCTTCTGTTAATACCTCAAGAATACATTTATCAGGCTATGTATGAAAGTTTTCAGTCTTGCTGAAGTAAAATATCTGAGGCAAACCCTTTAACCCCCACATAATATTTAACAGTAGCATCCAGTGTCTGTGATAATGTATGAAGTAAAATATTAGTTTTATTTAAGGTGAAAATTACTTATTAAATTTCCCAAACACTCTCTACAAATTAAGTATTGTGGAAAATTTTAGTTAAAAAAATTTGGATGTCTTGATTTGAAACCGCAGTGACAAATCTGTCATATTGTGTTGAGATTATGAAATAAAATCAAATAAAAGTTACCTGTTTTTTGTTTTCTCATGGAAGGACCATTAATCTTGTTAACTCCCTTGCCTATCTCTTCAGCAGTTTTTAATTTGTGTGAATGAGGCTGTTGTAAGTTTGTTTAACTTAAGAATAAAATATTTTAGAATGTTAATATTTATGCGGGAGGAAATAGTCTCAAGAAAAATTGCTCTTGATGGGTCAAAATAGGCTGAGGGAAAATATGGAAGATTTGTTAGAGCAATACTGCCATCTAGTGGAAAATTTTTTATTTTGAGCGACAGAAACAAAACAAGGAACTGCATAAAGACTTTAGAAACATTAATATGGTCCGCGTGCACAGACATCAAAACAATTTATTAACCAGTCTGAAACCACCAAATTCTGTTAAAGAATCAATACACAAATATCACACCAAAATCATTACAGAATACCCTCCTCTATTCTCCAACACTGAAACTACTTATTCTCAAACCATAAAACATAAAAGATGTAGAAATAAACACAAATGAAAAAAAAATGTCATATAAGATCATATAAACTGATGTAAATAATTATCACAAAATACTCTTTCTAATCATTACCACCACACAGGTAGAGCAGGGCCTTCTGGTAATCTCCTTCAGAGTCTTCCTAAAAATAGTGGCAAAAACAATGCTAAGATTTATCTGTGTGCGTGTGTGTGTGTGTGTGTGTGTGTGTGTGTGTGTGTGTGTTTGCATAACTTGCCTGTATGGTGTTATAGAGTGATTCTCCATACTTCTTCTTGTATATTGCTCTGACGTCCAGCATATCTCGTTCACTCCTGGACACCATGATCCTTATGAGAGTCTCATCATCAGTGCCGGCACGCTGTCAATAAGCAAACCAATAATGTGTGAAATCAGTTGTTTCATTATCATTCAGACCAACACACTCATTTAATAAACAGGCCATAAATTGTTTTTATTTTTCCACTTGAAGTGTCAGCATTTGATAATACAAAATGAGCAGCAAATGATCCAATTCATGATTGTCAGAGGGGGAAAAAACTGATGAGAATCTCATGGAAATAAGCCTTCTTACCCGCATAGACTCTCGAACAGATTCAGCAAAATAACCAGGCACTTTTTGCACATTTAACTAAAAGGGGGGGAGAGAAAAATTTGTTTTAAATTTCAGTTAAAGGGATAGTTCACCCACCAGTGTCATTATTTGCTCACCCTCATGTTGTTCTTAACCTGTATGCTGTTATTAAAGTTATGCAGCTCGTCATACAACATCAGCAGTGACCTTAACAAACCTTTATGTGAGGAACAGACTGAAATTCAGGTTGATTTCACAGATTATCTTCAAAAGTAACATTGTCACAAAAAAGTCACATTTCTGTCCATTCCTCATAGAAAATAGCTTCAGAAAACTTGAAAAATTTGAGTGTTTTGCTTCTCTTCTTTTTTTTTTTGTTGCCCTTTTGTTATTTTTTATTGGACCATGGTTGTTTGAAAATGTTCAAAACATTTCTTCCACAGAAAAATAACAGCATACAGTCCTAGAATTACATGGTGAGTATCACTTTCCTTTGCATTTTCTTAGTTGACCTTTTTATTCAAGCAATTAAATCTATTTTACCAGACAGAACTTTGGGTGAACTATTGTTTTAAGTTTCATCAGAGTAATTGTTCAGTCCGACCAAATAGCAAATGAACTTGTACGTTTAGCCACACAGCAGGGATTTTCGTACCCACAGCCAGCAGCAGTGCTTCCAGGTTCCCAGTGCACTCATCTTTTATGCTCTCTTCAATGTCACAGCCGGCAATCTTTTTGTAGGCATCAAACACTGAAACAGGTACACCAAAGCCATTAGGATGGCCCTTCAAGGCAGTTCTGAATGCATCAAAAGGCTTTGAACACACAAATATGCACCTTTTCTCAGGTGTTCCGCGCTCCTGTTGCCGAGTATGTTGATGAACTTGTCCTCGTCCGTGCCGGATTTCTCCTCTCCAGCAGCAAACAGCTCCTGAAACACGATCAATGAACAAACACTTCTAAGGTTCGCAACTTAAACCTGAGAATCCAGTTACGTCTTTTCCATGTTTACATCAACATTCATACGCAACACTAATGATTAATCAAAAACAACTGGGTACAGTTTATAACAATGGATTCAAAACACTTTCAGTTTAAGTTGTGAAGCACAAAAGGAGATATTAAACACAATGCACAAGCATCTG